AGTGAACTGGTGTACACCCGCATCCTGTAGGTCAGCACCACTCACCAGGTTCGTAGAGAACGAGGGGAGGTAGAGACCAGACAGGGTGCCAGAGGGAGCCGCCGGACACGGGAGGACTGTGGAGAAGCGAGACAGGACAGGACCCCCAGAGGGGTCAGCCAGAGACACTGCAACCGGTCGACTCAGCGGTGTGAGTGTGGTGCGGTCCCGAAAGAAGGAGCGAGACGCCCCAGAGTCAAGGGTGAAGGTGAGGGAGGCCGAAGCCGACGTAGTACCTGAGAGCGCAGACTCACCAGTACCTGAGGACGCAGACACACGAGCACCTAGAGCAGCAGCGTCGCAAGCACCTAGGGCAGCAGCCTCACCAGGACCTAGAGCAGCAGTCTCAATGCCCGGATCGGGCGGGAAACACCGGTAACAGTCACCCTCATCACTAATAGACACAGCATACATGGCAGAGAGAATAGCATCAAAGTCAAGATCATAGATGGCAACACCCGCCCTAGACAGCTCGCCCCAGCGAGGGATCTCGGAGGCCTCCGGGAACTGGTGACGCCACGCGTCCGTCAGGCGGCCAAAGCAGCGCTGGGTGGGGTGGGCACCCCCACACTGCTCACCCGCACGGTCGCCAGTGCGCAAAACGTAGGAGCACGGACCAAAACCCCCACCCCGCTGACGCGCAGTGTACCACTCACGAAGCTGCTGAGGGGACAGGGTGTCACGACCACGCTGTTGCTGCTGGCGCGAGCCACCACCGGAGCCACTCCTCTGCGAAGACCCGCGACCAGCACCACCGCCACCCCCGCCGCCTCCGACGCCTCCGCCGCCTCCGCTACTGCCGCCGCCTCCGCCTCCGCCGCCGCCTCCACCTCCGCCACCTCCGCCACCTCCGCTCCCACCGCCACCGCCGCCGCCACCTCCACCTCCACTGCCGCCACCGACCCCTCCACCCCCACCTCCACTCCCACCGCCACCCCCACTCCCCCAACTGCCGCCACCTCCACCTCCACCGCCCCCGCTCGCTCCTCCAGCGCCCTTGCCCCCCTTGCCCTTGCCAGAGCGGCGTCTCCCGCTAGGGGCAGACGCCGCACCGACCGACTCAAGACCAAGGAGGTCGGCCGCAGCAGCAGAGGCAACAGAGGGCAGAAGGGGGGAGGGGGAACACCCCTCAAAGATGGGGGTGCGCGGGTCACCACGAGAGGCCCCTACAGCGACTATGCTCTTCTCGGCCGCTAGGAGGGACTTCTCGAGGAGGTCAACAGTGAGAGTGGTGGGACAGACAGAGAGAAAGTGGTCCCTGACTACGCGAAGGGAGTCAGGAAGGCGAGTGACTATGTAGTAAAGAGTGATGTACATGGGGGGGGGGTTCTTGGCGCAGAAGTCAGGAGGGAGTGCAGCGCGGTAGCGAGTGTCACTAGTGCGGAGGTGCGTAATGAGGTCAGCGACTGTGGGAAAGGCAGCAAGGTCAGGAAAGAGGTACGGTAGCATGAGACGGCTCAGTGCAGCAGTGGCAGGGGAGGAGTAGCGCGCAACTACAGCGTCGTACAAGGTCTGAGCACTCTTGTACTGACTAAAGTGCGCACGCTCGGAGGTAGGGAGGTGGCGACGCACAGCAAGACGTGCAGCAGCGTCGCGCGTGGCCCACTGGGAGCGAACAGTGGCGTCAGCATCAGCAGTAGGGGCAGTGGAGGCGCCAGAGGTGAGGTCAAAGAGAGAGAGGCCGTCTGCCCTATCGCACTGTAAGAACAGCTGCAGGTCATCTACCCAGACCTCAAAGTCAATGGCCCGACCCTCAGCGTCAAAGGCGAGAACACTAGGGGTAGCCATGACCCTAGACGACTAGCAGCGCAAACAGTAGGGTGAGGACAGTGCAGTGAAAAGGCGCTGTGCTCACCAGACTGGGCAGGTCGGGCGGCCCGGAAGGAGGGCGGCGCGGCGGCTCGGCGGCTCAGCTGCTCGGCGGCTCGGCGGCTCGGCGGCTCCGCTGCTGGGCGGCTCGGCTGCTGGGCGGCTCGGCTGCTGGGCGGCGCGGCTGCTGGGCGGCTCGGCTGCTGGGCGGCTCGGCTGCTGGGCGGCGCGTCTGCTGGGCGGCTCGGCTGCTGGGCGGCTCGGCTGCTGGGCGGCTCGGCTGCTGGGCGGCTCGGCGGCTCGGCGGCTCGGCTGTTCGGCTGCTGGGCTGCTGGGCGGCTCGGTTGTTCGGCTGCTCGGTCGCTGGGCGGCTCGGCTGTGCTGCTGCAGGGCGGCGCGGCTGGGCAGCAGGTGACGGGGCCGCAGGTAAGGGCGGCGGGGCCGCTGGTAAGGGCGGCGTGGCCGCGGGTAGGGTGGCGGGGCCGCAGATAGGGTGGCGGGGCCGCAGGTAAGGCGGGGGGGGGCGCGGGTAGGGTGGCAGGGCCGCGGGTAGGGTGGCGGGGCCGCAGGTAAGGTGGCGGGGCCGCAGCAGAGGGCGGCGGGGCCGCAGGTAAGGTGGCGGGGCCGCGGGTAGGGTGGCGGGGCCGCAGGTAAGGTGGCGGGGCCGCAGGTAAGGTGGCGGGGCCGCAGGTAAGGTGGCGGGGCCGCAGCAGAGGGCGGCGGGGCCGCAGGTAAGGGCGGCGTGCCCGCTGGAAGGTGGCAGGGCCGCAGGTGAGGGCGGCACGAGGGGCCGCGGAGGTCGGCAGCGTGCCGTAAGGGCGGCACGCGACGCCGCGAAGGCCGGCGACGAGCCGTTACGGGCGGCGCAAGGGCGGCGACGGGCCGCTTAGGGTGGCGACGGGCCGCGAAGGGCGGCGACGGGCCGAGTAAGGGCGGCGCAAGGGAGGCCGCGAGGGGCGACGCGACAGTAGAGAGGGCACACGAGGCGCGACTCGGGCCTAAACTAAGCGCGCTCCGGGCAGGAAAAAAAAAATTTTCGACTTGGTGGGCCGTAGGAACAGTTCCCACGAGGGAACCTGCTCGATACCATGAGAAGAAACGAGGATGAATGGACGATGAATGAAGTGGGTACAAGTACTAACCCTAATTGGGTTGTACCCCCTATGGGATACCCCACTACAGCCTACACAAAAGTGTAAGCTATGATGTTCTGACACGATCGGCCTAACTTACTACAAGAACGCAACCACACCGACTAAGTTAATCGGCTACGTCGACGCTGATCACGCTGGCGACTCCGACAATAGGCGCTCCCGCACCGGCTACATCTACCGCCTCGAACCTATCGGATCTATCTCTTGGCAGTCGAGCAAGCAGGAATTAATTGCTCTCTCGTCAGCTGAAGCAGAATATATTGCACTCTGCTCAGCCACCAAGGAAGGACTCTATCTTCGCGAGCTGCTGGAAGAAGCGAAGTTAGCCGAGTTACCCAACTTTACCCTGTTCTGCGATAACCAGTCGGCAATTCGCATCGCCAACAAGAACGGCTTCGCGAACAGGACGAAACACATCGCCCTGCGATATTTCTTCGTGAAGGACGAGATCGAGAAGGGAAGGCTCGAGCTGTCATACTGTCCCACGTCCGAGATGGCAGCTGACTACCTAACCAAGAAGCTCGGAAAGCAGAAGTTCGAATACTGCATGCTGCTGACTGGACAGAGCCACGTCAGCGACACTCCAGAAGCGAAGGGGAGTGTTGGAAACAATCGGTCCTAAGCGCCTCTGTCGTGTCGAAACACTAAGACACAAAAGAAACGAAGTATAACGAATCACCGGCGAGTCAACCCTCGGAGGTTGAAAGTAACTGTTGGAGGTTACGCGAAAGTCAAAGGTCAGCGACCTTTGACCTGACAAAGTACAGCGCGACAGCAAGGACAAACAACTGACTCGGTATTGAGCAGTTGCCCGAGTCGTCACTGTATCGAACCGCAACAGCAATAGTAAAACGGTTATTAACTGTATCTCTTCGTATTCCTTGTACTCTTATAAAAGCTTGTCTCTTTGTTTTAATTAACTTACTTTGCCCTCACATACTAGCGCAAGGTGGTTCACAACTCTTTAATTAACGCTTCCGCTACTACACCAACTCTACCCAGAGTTCACCCCTGCAAAGATCCTAAGGGTTTTTCAGCCCAACACCAATGGTACAGGTGCTGCTTCGGTAACAGCAGGTGCGATGTTGTTGCATCTTCGGGAATGGTAAGAAATTCTTTCTTATTCCAACAGTGGGGAATCTAAGCCGTAACCGTTTTCTCAACCAGACATCCAATAATTGAAAATAGACGCCCTTTACTTGAAAACATGTCCTTCATTTGAAAAGACGTATATTGTTTGAAAACGACACAGACATGTTCTGAAAGCAGACGTCCTATTAGGCCGAACCCAACTAACGCGAGAGCAACGGAATGTATCGGTACCCGATAATATCGACCTGCACTTGGGAAATAGAACTCCTTACAGCTACTGTACTGGCTTCAATACTGCATTCACATCAGTAACAAGGAACATGAACCATCACAGCGAGAATCATGCGCACCGAACTCCAGCACAGGTTGGCCTACAAAATATCTGAACACATCAGGAATCCATGGAAGTCAACGAAGTCATGACGCCATATACTCCAGTAGTCGCAAGGCGTGTACTATTGCTGATTAGTAGTATCTTCTTTCATCGCTAGCTTGTCGAGGGCGTTGGTTTCAATCAGTGCTGTTGGCTTATCACCGTTGGTACGATGACCATTGCTGGTTGTTAGTCACTGCTAGTAGTAGTTACTCCTTCGATGCACCACCGAGTTCCGCGCGTTGTCCTTGTCCCGCCGTTAGACCAGCATCGTTCGACGTTTAGCATGCGCCATGAAGGTCCGTTTTGGGTGGTCCTGATGCGACGGTTCTCGTAGTACTGATGATGTCACTGCGTCGTACTAATTGCCGCGGCGCGTGGGGTACGCTTTGCAGTGTAACTCACCGACTCCCACCTCCCGCCCCCCCGGCGCCCCATCCTTGCCTCGAACCTAATGCGCTAGGACGTTACTACGCATTAACTCGCGAATAACGACAGAAACTAAGCGTCAGAAGTGCTCCGGTGTCCTCGCCATGCTCCATCTCACCCACTCCCAAGCCCCTTCTCCCCGTGCAGAGCCTTCTTTTGCTTCTGCTGCTGCTTACCTGCTCGCCGAATGGCACGACAGTGGCGACGGCGCGGCGAATACAGGCCTCAGACTGTGAGTGCGGGCAGGGGATCATGATGCACGTGGCACGCGTGTCGTTGAGGCTAGGAAACTCAACATTTCCTTGGCTTGTGTCGTTTGTCTCCCTTCATTTTTAGCTCACCTCCATTTCAATTCGCTCGTGGCTGTCTCTAAAAATACAATCTGGCCCGAGTTTTCACCCATGTACCAGAGTGTTCAGGTGACAACTCCTACTGTCATTTTGTCATGTTGTTCATTCCGGACTCGCATCTGAGTCTTACAGGTGAAAACCCTAGGTTACAGGGGTCGCTTTTTGCCTTGGGTTCGGTGATGCACTTGGGCGGGAGTGCATGCACTTGGTGAAATGGTTTTACTTTCACTGTACGCTCTCCTCGCTTTCCTCTTTCACCGCCTCCACATTCTTCCTCCAGCCTGCCTTGCTCTCCCTCCCTCCCTCCTCCCATCCACCCCTCCCACCCTCCCTTAATTGAATATTGAAAACAATCCATCTTCCCTCAATGTCGGTGCAAATTTGAACGTTCCCATCTGCGGGTGTACCGCCTGCTCACGGCCCGCCCTCGTTCCCTCAGTCCTGATCTGCACATCCATTTCTCCGCCCCTCCTCCCGTCCATTTGCCTGTCCTTCATCCGCCCATCCGTCCATAAGTCCACCCACCCGTCTGTTACGCACATCCATCCGTCCATCCGTCAGTCCATCACCCCGGGCTTGTTTGTTAGCATTTGCTCGTCCATCTGTCTGTCTCCATTTCTATATGACAGCCCTCTCCTCCTGCCCCATGTTGCTCCCCGTGCCTCCCACACCACGCACGCAGTTAGCGTGCTGGAGCAGCTGCTGGAGTCGTGGAATGGCTTTGCTGATGGCAAGACGTGGTCGCCCAACAGCGACTGCTCCACAGTGCAGGGCATCACCTGCGATACCAATGGCTACGTGGTCTCACTGTGAGTAGTCTTGCAGACTTATCCCTCCCAAGTCATGCTTCCCTGCATGCCATGGGGTCTCATCTCTGCCACGTCCTGTGTACTGCGTTAACACATTTTGTCTTTGCCGCAGATGCATTGTTGGAGCCGGTAGCCAATGTTACTCTGCACACACAACACTCGCACAAGCGCTCATCTAAAGTCAGGGATACTACTTTACTCCACGTTATGTGCATCATCAGTTCAACATCAGGCACCATGATGTGCGTCACTGTGTGCAACATGACATGACATGATATCTTGTACTCAACATGATGTGCGTCATCAGGTCAACATCGGGCAACGACCTGCGGGCGTTCATCCCACACGAGATCAGCGGCCTGCAGCATCTCACATTCCTGTAAGCTGCCGTGCGTGACTTGTGAGTATGGAACGGAACAGCAACAAACAAACAAGCTAGGCTACGGGAAGAAGTGCAAAGTACACATGGACTGGAAAAGGCTGCTGCAGGCTGCCGCGGGCACTGAGTTGTTTCACGCATTCCCAAACCTCTGCTCTGCACGTTCTCTAGGTAGTTTCCTGCATTCTCTTTCATCCACTCGTCGTTCAGCCTTTTTTTGAAATATTCCACTAGTCGCTGCACTTCAACTCCCTTGATTGTCATCACGCCTTCCTCCCACCTTTCCCGTGCCTCCTCCCATCCACCGCCCCCACCCCCACCCCCGCTTGTGCGTCAGATCCATCACGGCCAGTCATCTAGTGGGCTACCTTCCCTCGGGCCTCTTCAACCTACCACTTCTCAAGGGCCTGTGCGTGCTCACTGCGTGCTCACTGCGTGCTCACTGCGTGCTCACTGCGTGCTCGCTGGGTGCTCTCTGGGTGCTCGCTGGGTGCTCTCTGGGTGCTCGCTGGGTGCCTCTCCAGGGGCTGGGGATTGGAGCACTGCATCTAGGCAGTGGCCGGAATTAGGGTTTGTTGCAGTTGCAGATTGAGTCTGCTATACCAAAGAAAGGAGTGAAGAGGTAGAACAGAAACGAACGTGATGATGATAGGTGGGAGGGAAAATGGAAATCACTGGACGACCATGATTCTCATTGGACCTGCAGTGCAACTCGGGTGCTCTGAAGGAGCTGATGAGTCCTCACACTCAGGTGGGACTCTGCTGCTGCCATCACTCGCACTTCAGTGTGCATGCAGCACTACCACCTCCTGCTCCTCCTGCACCATCTGTGGCACATTCTCCTCTCGTTATACCACGCATGTCCTACTGATCGCTATCTGTAACAGATCTCTGTCTGCATACCCTTGTCAGTCTGACCGTCTAATCCCCCCTCCTCCCCCATTCCCCTCCTCCTCCCTCCCCCATTCCCCTCCTCCTCCCTCCCCCTTCCTCTTCCTCGTCTCTGGCACCTTTCTGCTTCCTTCTGCTTCCCACTGCTTCCTTGTACCTCACCATCGTACTCCCAACCCCCCATACATCCCCGTGCCTGCCCATCCCTGTGTGCGCATGGGAGCAGGCAGCTGAGCACGAATCTTCTGTACGGTGCCATACCAGATGGCATCAGCAAGCTCTCACGCCTCACATACCTGTCAGTGCTGCCACACAACCACTGCCAGGTATCTATTTTGCCTAACATGGGCTTCTCACTTGGTCCGGTGCATTGTTACCTACCATGCACGCTCTCGTTCCCCTTCCTGTCGCACTTACCATGCAATCCATCCATCTACTGCCATTACCTTGGTCGTCTGCAGCAACCTGAACGAGAACTACTTGTTTGGACCGCTACCCGAGGCACTTTCCCACCTCGGCCAACTCATATCGCTGTAATGTGCACACTTGTGGTTCGAACCTGTTGAAACTAGAGAGATTCGAGCTCATAGAGCGTGGGCAGAGGTTAGGCTTGGGGACAATGGAAAAATTCATGGGGCATTGGTCGTGGGGACAAGGGACAAGCATATCGAAGAAGACAGATGGTGTCTTGTGCCTTTACGTTGGTTCTCGGTCAACGAAGCATTTGTGCCAATGCTCATACAGAGGCAAAGCACTCACCGCAGCATGTGTGTGTGTGTGACCCATGACCAGGAATCTCGTGGGGAATATACTTATGGAGACCATCCCTTCTGTCATCGGCTCCATCACCACCCTCCAGTCGCTGTGAGCCTGGCACCCTAGCTAGCCTGGTAAGCACTTGCTTGGATGCTTCATTCTGCCATTTATTGTGGAATGATGCTTTGCGTTCATCGGATATTCTCTCTTATAGTGTCTCTGTAACCTATGCGTTGCATTGCAGTGTATGTATTCCTTCCATAGCGTCTCTGGCTGCCACGTCGAGCAGAATATGCATGCTCTTACCATCCCTTGCTTCTTCCCCCCTCCGTTCCGCACCCTCTTTCCCCTTACCACACCTCCCTCCCCCCCTTCCCCCGCTTCCCCCCCCCCCTGGTTTCGCCAAGGTGCGCAGGGACCTAAGTGCGACGGGCATGCAAGGGACCATTCCTGATTGGATATCCACAATGCCCAGGCTGAGTAGCCTGTACGTGTAACGTGCCCATGAACACTCATGCCTCTCACAGATTCACATTGTAAACACCCCCTGCGGGCGATGTTCTGGTCTATTCAAATTGCTTTAGTGCCTTTAAAGCCTTAATCCCCAACCTCAAAGAGAGGGAGCATTCCCTGCATACAGTTTGATTCCTGTTTTCATGCGACCTTTGCTGTTTCACCCAGTTCCTGCGTGCACACAAGAAAAGCTGTGCTCCATTCCATGGCACGAATTTGGGCGCAGCACCTCTCAAGCATTCACGTTGTGAGAGCTGCTTTCTCGAGGTATTGAAAGATGTTCTTCCACATATCTCCCTTGAAACGCTACCTTGCAGCCAGATACGAGGGAATTATCTAAATGGCACCATACCAGCTTCACTTAGCCGCCTGACACAACTCGCCACACTGTACGTTCACGAATACTACGAACTTGTCAAGGCTTCCATCAAAGCGTAATGATCCTGTGAGATATTGAACCACTGCGTTGCAGCACAGGGTTACAGGGGCCTTTTGCCTGGTTTCAAATGTTCCTCCCATGGTGTTTATGCACTTGCATTGCACTCAGCACCAGCTGGAATGGAAACCACCCATTCTGAAATACCTCATTTCTCTACTCTCTTGCGTGCAGTGACATTGGAAAGAACCGCCTCCTTGAAGGGTCTATTCCTGCAGAGCTCTTCAGCCTAGTGAACCTGGAAGCGCTGTGAGTCATAACCCAAAGAGTGGCGTTCATGCAAGTGAGGATGGGAGCAACGCAGGGAGGAAGAGGCGGTGCCTCTTCACTGCGCAGCCACATACAGGTACAGTGATGCACCAAAGGGAGAGACCTGGTATTCAGTGAAGGAACAGGTACTGAGAGAGTGGGAATTCCCGTACGTATGCGACCATATTCCATCACAGAAACTGTAAGTTGGTGGATGCAGCTAGAATTCATCACAGTGTCGTCAGCAGAGGCCCCATGGATTTGGTGAAGGTCCATGCAGGTGGGTTCTCCGAACAAGCTGGCTCCGGCTCTGCTGGGGGGAGGTTAGCAAGTGTGCAGCGAATTTTTCAAGGGGAAGAGAGGGGGGCGAAGGAAGGGGTGTTGGGAAATGACGAGTTTGGTGGGTGTTCCGTTCCGTCTACCATCTTTTGCCATTGTGACGAACTTGTTGGTGGCTGGAGCTCTGGCCTAATTTGCATGTCTGCCAATTCTTTAGTATGAGTTGGTTGGCTTGCCATGTGATGTGAATGTGTAGTGTTATAGCAGCATTATCTCATCCACCTCATTCTTACCATAGCTCTTCATCACTTTCCTCCGCTTCTGTATCTCTCAGGTCCTTCTCCTCTTGCCTTGCCCCCCTACCCCTGCCTATCTTTGTCTTTCATCCCCCCTACCAATTTGGTCAGCAATCTTGGAGTAAGCAGCTTGAATGGCACCATTCCTGCTTCACTAGGAGCACTCAGCCGGCTACGCTCCCTGTGAGATGTGAACTTGCTGTTGCCAGCAGCGTAGCGAAGCAACTTTTCATTTTGCCTCAACGTTTGAAGCGACTATTCTCCTGATGGTAGTGCTTATTTCAAGTGCGCCTTCACATGAAGGTGTAAAAAAACGATTATTGCAGCGTAGATTCTTGTTGGTGATTTTTGCTGAGCCAATTGAAACACGAAGAGGATACTACTATGTTATGTTTTCCAGTCTGCTATGAGCAGAAACATGTTGCACAAGATAACAGCTCCTTGCATAACAAAAATGCATGGAAAAGTCAATATACACTATGAGAGAGGCAACTCAGTTGGTAACTCCCTTTCTGCGACTCGCACCAACACAGGCAGTTGGCATGGACAAACATATCTGGGACCCTGCCTTCGTCAATTGGAAGCCTCACTCGCCTTGATGTCCTGTGCGAACCTCATAACCGCCCTCTCCGTTTCATTTCTTCATCTTGATTTTTTTCGTAACGCAGCCTTTTCTTCTTAACCTTCCTGTTGTCTTTGGTGTCCCTTCCCACTTCCATGCGCCCTTCACATCTGCTCTGCTTCTGGGCAGCTATTTCACATAACCATTTCCGGTTTATAGTGCATTGCAACAGCAAGAAGCAGAGTATAACGAATCCCTTATAAGAACAATCTGTGTTGGGGATACCACATGTGCTTGCACTGAAGATTTTTTTTGCTTCGCATCACATCGCGGATAGCCTTGTCGGATTAGTTGCTGATGGAGCACGATTGATATGGTATATGTGTGTGGCCCGCAGGTACCTGGAGAGCATGCACCTCACAGGCACCGTTCCCAGATCATACTCAAACCTGCAGAGTCTAGGCCTCCTGTAAGTGCGGGCCAGACTAGCTTTCAGTATGGTAGCTGCATCATTCTGCATTTTTCACTGCAGCTTCTGGTGCTCCCTAAGAGTCATACAGTGCTGAGTAAGAGTCTGAAGCATCACTTGCGGTGCACTCTGTCTGCCGTTTGCTTCCCATCTGGTGTGCAACCCATCAGCCTTATGAACAGAAACTCTCTCTCAGGCGACATGTATGGCATCACCAGCACCATGACCAACCTGCTCACACTGTGAGTGCATACGGGAGGGCCAGCATGGCAGATCATCCAACAGAGAGAGGGAAAATACCATGTACAGCAAGAGCACCAGTGCAGCAGAAGCATGGGGACCTCTCAGTCAACAAACTGATTGACTGTGTTGTGTTGTGATACGATAAACTGATTGACACTCTACTCGATCCCATACCCTTCAGTGCTCCAGTGCAATCCTTAATCACTCTGGCAAGCAATCCTTGATCTCTTGAGTGTGCGACCCACTGCTTCTTGTGTGAGGCCTGCAAAGCCCCGCTAATTATGACTTTGGTTTCCCACACAATACTCCATCTGTTCCTCTCCTCCTCACCGCCCTTCACTTCACTTTCCTGCCTCCCTCACAGCGACATTTCCAGCAACCAGTTCACGGGGCAGCTGCCTGCGCCCCCATCGTCCCGCCTGCAGTTCTACTACGCCCACCGCAACTACTTCACCCACGGCACTGTCGTTCCGCCCAAGAATAACCTCACCTTCTTTTCAAACGTCTTTCAGAACTGTCTCCTCAATGCTTCCATGGTGGCTGGGGAATATGAGCGCCAGAGGAGTGCAGAGGAGTGTGCAGCGTTCTGTGGGGTTGCAGCTGGGGACACCAAGCCCCTGTGCAGCGGGCATGGCGTGTGCTCCTTCAATGCGTCTGTGCAGGAATCGGCGTGCACGTGCGATAGCAACTTTGACAACCAGGCGGGACCCCACTCCTGCGCCTACAGTGGTATGCATTGGACACTTGTGAAGAATTGTTTGCCGTGATCCTCTCAGTGTACGATTCCCAATGAACAAAACTCATTGCAACACAATGCCTTCTCAATGCCGGATGCCTGCAGTCCTCCCTTCAACGGAGTCATCACAATCAACGCCGGTCTCCTTAACCGCAGCAGCAACACAGCTATTCAACGGCACCCTCATCCTCACGCCATCAGCCCCCAACACATCAGGAGCAGCCGTTCTCCAGACGCCCATCCGCCTCTTCCATTTCATTGACAGCCCTGGCCCGTGCGGCACGCCCTTTGCCTTCAACGTTTCCCTCAGCTTTGCCATGAAGGCTGTGACGCCAGGAGGTCCGGGCATGGCGGGAGAAGGCCTGGCGTTTGTTGTGAGTGCGGTCGCACCGCAGGGGGCTGCTGCAGCAGGGGTGGGGCTGGGAGGGGTGGGGAAGCGGAGTGTGGCGGTGGAGTTTGACTCGGTGCTGAGTGTGAAGCACAGCGACCCCAACGACAACCACGTGGGCGTCAATGTGGGCGGCTCGCCTGTGTCCCTCGCCTCTGCCACGGCCCCTCTCATCCTCAACGACGCCCACACCAAGCACGCCTGGATCCACTACGACCCCACCAGCGGCGGCACTCTCCGAGTCTACCTCTCCTCCGACCCCCAGCAGCCCCCCACCCCCACCCTCCGAGCTCGCGTGTCGCTCTGCTCCATTCTGCAGCCAACTGCTGTGGAGACCAACTTCTTTTTCAGCTTCGTAGCATCAAATACGGAAGCAGCCCAAGAAAACGTCATCTTGAAGTGGGAAATCGTGACAGGTGCGGATAATTGCGATGAAGGAAGGTGGGGTTGGATCACCTGGTAGTTGGGTCATTGACCCCTGTGCAGGAGACGAGATACACCGGTCAGATATTTTGCTGTACTGACAGGTATGGTCTGTCACCTAATTACACAGTCAATAACTCATCGACACGGCATTTGGAGTGTTAATTTGCAATAGCATAACCATAAGCACACACACACACACACATGCACACACACACACACGCACGCACGCACACACGCACGCACGCTCGCACGCACGCACGCACTCACGCACGCACGCACGCACGCACGCACGCACGCACGCACGCACGCACGCACACACACACACACACACACACACGTGTGCACACACACACACACACACACGCACACTGCATACACAGAAACAACCATCTGCCGTTTAAAGAAACATGCTATGCATGGACCTGTTAATGCATACCTCATGTTTTGCTTCTCTTGCAGCTGAAGTGTATGATAACAACGCGTATAAGAAATTATTTCTCATTTTGAGCTGATTGCACTAAGGCTTCACATTCTTGCCTTGCGTCCTGTCGAATTGCAGGTTTACCACGACGGCCTACTCTCAATGCTCAAGGTAAATATCATCCGATGGCTTCTCGCATTCCTTTCTCTCTTTTTTTTTTTTGTATGTTAGCTTAGCTGAATGGGGCAGCATAATCGAGTGGGGGGGCATGACTGAGTTGAGAACAGTTTGTTAACTGGGGGGGACATAGCAGGTCAAGGTGTGGCCTTCTTCTCTCCTCACCATGCACCTGTAGATGCACAGCTCTATGTCTGTCGTCCCGGACGTTTTATTCCAGTATTGCACAATGCACTGCCCTTTTGGCACCTCGCGCACATCAAGCATCGCTCGACATGTGTCTGTTAATGTGTGCTAATCTTCTCAATCGCACCACCAGACCTGGCGTTGGGGTTTTTGTTGGACGAGGACTCCTTCTCATCGCAGGGCTTCAACGCCGCCTTCCACTACGCCAGTGCGGGATTCGACCCCGTGCAGCACAACACCCCCTCCTGGGTTGTCAAGTCCTTCGCCTCCTGGGTCTTGTCCGAGGCCATGTGGCCTGTCAAGAACCAAAAGGGCTGCGGTGAGTGGCAAACAGACAAGGTAAACATTTGGGTGCATTCTGATCCACCATGGGGCGCGCTTCATGAGCGAGCAGTAGGTTAGATTGACAGGGGTACACTGGGAATTGGGTTGTTCCAATCTCTTGCCTCGTAAGGTCAAATGGTTGTAGAAGGTAAAGATCAGACTGAGGTCCAGCTGGGCTGAGCCTGGATTGGTTCGAACTGGACCCTTCTCGTCATCCAGTCGACCTAGCCAAGCTGAGCCGGTTCAGTGGGGTCCCATAAGATGGGGTCGTCGATTCAGGCCCATCTGAAGCCTAGCTGGTCAGCTCGAGGCAACCCTGCCTACCCACCAGATGCGCGCAAGGTTGTGGCTCTCATCTCCGCATTTTGTCCACCAGGTGTCTAGGCGGAGTGGCGGCACTCGATCCACCGAGGCTCGTTGCATATTAAGTTAGCCGAGCTTGAAATCAGTTCACCTGAAATTGAAAGTCTTGGCTCAAACCAAACAGATCGTGCTTCCGCTCGACTTGTTTCCCATGCCGAGCCACTTTGAAAAGCAGTTCACACAAATCAGACTGAATCACAGATTTAATTACGTTAATTTGTAGCCCGGTTCTAGCAGTCACTTTCCATGCTTGTTAGCACAGTAATGGCATTGTTTGTTGCTCCCGTCTTTTTTGTGATGGCAGCGGACTCATGGGCGTACGCAGTGGTGGCAGCGGTGGAGGCAGCCCACAGGATCGCGAGCAACTGGGCGCGACCCCCCGTGCTGTCGGTGGAGCATCTGCGCCTCGCCCTCTCCTCCAACTGCGACGGTGGCTCGCCCACCAAGGCGCTGCAGTTCCTCCTCAACGCCACCGCGCACGGCAAGGGGCTGCTGGAGGAGACTGTGTACTCCCAAGGGCTTCCCCTCAGGGGCAGATCACTGGTTCGTGAGCTGAGCTGCTACTGGTGTACCTTTTAGAGTGCCGTTGGGATTTTGCTACTCCTATGATGCCCTCCTTCCGTTCCCCACCTCACGGGCTCTTCCCTTGGTGCCTCTTTCCCACCTACAGGCGAGCACACCCAAGTACTATGGCATCCGCGGCATCGAGCGCACGGGGTTCTACGGGTGGTTTGGGCTCATGCTGGCAGTGCAGCGCCAGCCTGTCATTGTGCACATCGAGACTACGATGGGGTAAGACACCCTCTTTTGAAGCCTCAAGGGTTTGGGGATCGGAGCTTGGTTGATGTTGTGATCAAGAGCATGCTTGGCGCGTCCACCGGAGCAGCCACAAGCAGGGGATACGCTCATTTGAGCTCGTGGCCTTGCTGAGCCATTATTGAGGGCGCGTCCTAGCCACCTTGCCTCCGCCCGACTGGGTTCAGTCCTTGAGGCGATGCGAGGCTGTGGGGAGTTTGCCATCCTTGAACAAAGCTGGGAGGGGGTCTAGCAAAGGGAGAGGGGAAGGATTGAGGGGAGAGGCCATGAGGAAACAGAGGAACTTGCTGCTGAGCTGGTAGAGTAAATAGAGGATGGATTAAGTCGGTCGTTGCAGCTTCTGGGGAGGAATGAGAAGAGGACGGATTGGTTTGAGATGCTAGCTGCTAATGGTATGTGGGAGTAGAACATTGACGTTTCCGCAGTGCGGAGCTGTTATGATCCGTCACACTGTAACCTGCTGGCGTGCATCCCCTGCGTGCATTCCCTGCTATTGCTTCCTTCCAGAGCGACAAATACGCTGATGAGGAGTGTTTCACGGAGCATCTGAACCATGCGGTGTTGGTAGTGGGCTATCTGGTATCTGGAGTCGACGCTGCTAAGCCCGACCTGCCGCCGCCCTTCTGGATCATCCGCAACTCATGGGGCACAGGGTGGGGCGACCAGGGCCACATGCGCATGGACATTCGCAGTGGAGATGGCATCTGCGGCATCAACACTCTCCCGGGCCTCTTCCCTGTCGTCAGAAGTGAGACCGACTACCCCATGCCGTGTCAGAGTACTTTTGTGAAACCAAGTCTCCAATTCACTTTGCCTCAGGCTTGTGGTAACATATCCACCAAGCCTCTAGCTCCATGCCCTTACCTTATGCTGGTTTTACTGACCACTAAGGATAGTGCTTGCTCCATTCGTTCTCCCATCACATCCCCTGCAACCCTTTCTTATGCCCTTCAACCATCCAGCACACTCCATGTCCGATGCACCAGACTCCATGTCCCATGCACCGCACTCCATGTCCCATACACCGCACTCCATGTCCCATGCACCGCACTCCATGTCCCATGCACCACACTCCATACTCCATGCACCGCACTCCACGTCCCATGCGCCATGTCCCATTGATCAGGCAGTGCAGATCCGTGTTGATCGAGAACCACTTTCTCCCAGTGCAGCTTGAGAACTATCCCCCATGCCACTTGCTGTACAACCGATGCCATGCAGGCAGTGCGGATCCATGTGGGTCGCGGTCATTCAAGGACTCCATTATGGGCGCCGCGTTCAACCCATGTGGGCAGTACCCGTGCAGCAAGAAGGGCACCAGCAATCGCTGCAAGTGCTCTGATGGCTACTTCGCTCAAGCCAAGAACACCGATGGATCGTACACCTGTACCTATGGTAATGTGCTCCCCTGCGTATGGTCATGTGCACATGGTTTATGGTTGCATGCACCTATGCTTATGGTGATGTATTGTTCAAGGCACTGTCCTTTTGTATACATGTTCTACGGTTATGTAAGTCTGTTCATACAGTATTGTAGTGTCGTACTTACGGTTGTGGCACAAGGCATACGTGTTAGGCGCCATTGAAGCATGAATTGTCATTTCTATTCTACGTTAACCTGCAAGTATCTTCTTGCAGAATGGATGCTCTGTTGTCCCTTTATACCAGTGCCTTGTTTCTATCTAACTTCTTATCTTATTTGGACTGCACCCCCTTCTACCTTGCTGAGGCGGTGTCTACTCTGCTGCCGCCTCTGCAGTGGCAGTGGGTCTCAATGGCATTGGCCCACACGTTTGCCATCCTGTTGCTTACCCCTCATGCTTATACCACACCCTCATCCATATATACTCCCGTGGCGCTTCCCCCCAGTGGACGTGTGTGGGTCCAGCAGTCACAACCCATGTGTGGCGGGCACGTGTGTGAACGATGGCAAGGGCAGCTACTCCTGTGTGTGTCCATGGGGCTTCATTCAAGGGACCATGATCGGTGGAGGCTTCTCCTGCACTCCTGGTAATAGCTTCCTTCCATTTTCTGCTTGCATCCATTCCACGAACATGAATTGCACCGGCATATCCCTCAAGTGCTCGTGTTATGTTTCTTATTGTTCAGAGTGCCCCACATACCTCCGAAGGCATGGGAGGTCCCTCATAGGGGGGCACATTGGAGTCAGCCTCCACTGCTTTCGTCAACCATGTGCTTGTTTCTCAGCTCGTCTGACTTGCTCCATGTGTGCGGCTGTGTATATATATGGCAGGTCAGGCGCAAGGCAAGTACAGGGTGCTAGCTGACAACATCCTGTGCTCGCACATCACAGCTGTCTTCAGCCTCTCACTCGCAAGATTTCTGTCGCTCAACAAGGTCAGCACCATCACACATCACCAAAACACACACACCAGGGATGCCTACTCACCACTTCTCTCATTCCACCTGCCACAACGTGCTATGGCACACGAGCACTGCAGTTTAACTTGTCCGCGTCTGTTTCTCTCGCGTTGCCACACGTGCAGGGTGTGTCATGTGCCAAGCCCCTGCGCATCAACACCGAGGTCTATGTGATCCCCAGCGTCCGTGACTGCAGTGTCTTCTACACCACCAACGCAGTAAACCCCCTCCCTCTCTGCTTCCTCTGATCTTCCTCTGTACTCTACTTTGTTTTGGCCCATATCTTCTCCGCACTTGCACATTACGGTGGTGGATGTGCCTTCCCTTAAACCTCGATTCAGTGGGTGCCATCCTTCACAGCAAGTCTGCGGGAACTGTTTCAGCTTGTGAAACGAGCACCCCGTATGTTGTCTGTATTAGCCGTTCCCCACCAGTTATGGTTGTTGCAGTTATTAACTCCCCCCACCCGCTCTCCCCCTTCTCCCACCGTACCCCCCAGGGCGACACGTGTGCAGGGGTGGGGCGGCAGGTGGAGCTGTGTGAGGCGGCGTTATCGGATGCGGAGTGTGAGGCGGCATTTCAGGCGCTCAACCCCGCTGTGGACTGCTCCTCCCTGAGGCCCTCCCAGGCCGTGTGCATCGAGAGGGACCCTGCCAAGGCCAACCGCATTCCGGTGTGTGCGGAGTACCACCTGCCGTGGGCAAGCGACACGTGTGACAGCATCAGGAACACGGCGGTCCCTCCGCTCAGCCCCATGGAGCTGTACCGGCTCAACCCCGGCATCAAGTGCAACCAGCCCATTCCAGCAAACAACTTTGAGTTCCAGCGGCCCCTTGAGCGGGAGGTACCGGTACGTTGCCTTGCTGAATGGAACGTTTCTGTTTGGTTGTACGGGGCTGTGTTGCCAGTATTGTTGTGGGTTGCAGCATTCTGATGTTGAAGGGAATCATTTTCCTTGTTTTGGCAAATGCAGATATGCATCAGGAGCTCCAGTTCTTTTGCCATTGGAACATGTCCAACGGACAAGGAGTATTATTTTAAGCCAACTGACACCTGCCAAAGTGTCCAAGTCATGCAATTTCAGTCCATCAAGGGGTGCTATAGGAAGATCAATGGGTTTGACTGCGTTGATAGTATGACGCCTGGGACAAAAGTGTGCCTACCCAACTATGACGGTGCTCGAATTGGAGATTGTTTCTACTAGGACTTGTGCTCGATTGCTATTCACGGCTATATTTTATATCTCAGTGGCAATGTGCATTCTCTGTAAATATGGTGGGATCAATAGGTAGGCGTGTATTCATGGCATGGCATGTACAGACACTAGTGCAGATGTTCGTATTCATCTCTTTATTCCAAGTGAAGCTTGTGCGCGAAGACACCTCGAAGCGCGGTAGACAGTCGACTAGACTAGATCATACTGTGACCGATGCCCAAGGGACAAGGAGACAGGCGCGTTGAGGCATCTCCTCGATGCTCATGGCCTGTGCAGCAGCAGCCAGGGGCAGTCCTCCACAGCCGGGGCAGCCCCACACAGCAGGCAGCGCGGGCGCACCACCACCAGCACCACCGGCACCACCGGCACCACTGGCACTGACACCCCACTCCCCTCATCCTTCGCTGCTGCTCCATCTTCCCCCTCACCCGGCCCTTCTCCCCCGTCAGCTGTAACAGCTGCAGGTGGTAGTGGCAGTGAGTCCACGACAAAGGACGGCACATGGGCCGCTCCCAGCCACTTCCAGTGCAGAGAGGCCAGCCGCGCTGCCAAGGGGGAGTCTGCAAGCCTTGCTCCTGCGCTTGCAACTGCACTCGTAGATGGAGCAGGGGCAGCTGTGTGTGCTGTTGCTGCTGCTGTGGTTGGTGCTGATGCTACTGCCGTTGTTGATGCTGAATCTGAGACAGGTAACTTCTCTTGCTCAACCTGCTGCCCTCCGCCTCCAGTCGATTTACTAGCCCCCAGCCAATCAAACGCTGCCAGCACATCATACCTGCAGCTCACAGGTCCATGGTCACTGCACAGCTTCCAGGTACCTTCCTGCTGCTGCTGCTGTTGCTGCTGCTGCAGCATGGCATCGCCTGCACTTTCACAGTCCATGGCACCACCATCGGGAGTCCAGTGCAGCACCATGCTTAAGAACGCCCCCTTGCTCCCTCCTTCATTCCCCTCCGCCTCATTCCCTTCCCCGCACTCACCATCCTCCTCAACCTCCCCTTGTAAGCCCACCTCTGCCTTGCCTTCTGCCCCGCCACTCCCCGCCTCCTCCTCTCTCCCCGCTCCCTCCTTTCTCCCCGCCTTCTCCTCTCCTCCTGTCCTCTCCACTCCATCGTGTTGCCTCACCTCCCCCCGAATCCACCACATCTGCTCAGCACGCACATCTCCCACCTTCCACCGAGCCACACACGCAGCTTCGGGCTCTGCTGCCACGCGCACATGCCCCACCGCTGCTGCTGCCGCTGCTGGCAGCACAGCCGGGGGAGGGCATGGCAGGGCAGCATGCGCAGGGGCTTTCGCTGCTGAGACTAGCGCGTCTGTGTCCTCTCTGTCCTCTCTATCCTCTTTGCCCTCTGGGGTGGGCGCAGCTGAGCCTGCTGCCTCACATGCTGCTGTGGCAGCAGAGGCTGCGGCTGTGGGCTCGCCAGTATCAGTGGCAGCTGCATCATCACTATCACACACGCCCTCCCCACCCCCACCCCCATCTCCACCCCCATCCCCACCCACGCCCCCACCTCCATCCCCTACTACAGGTGCAGATGCAAGCGAGGACCCTACAATCCATGCCGCCCTGCACACATCCACGAGCCAATCAGCAGCGCCCATGTGTCCCCCAGACATCACCTCCTTCTCCACGGTGTCACATGGTGCATGCTCCCTGTCACCCCCTCTGCCTGCTGCTGCATCACCAGCAGGTACATCACCCACATCACCCACACCCACCAGCAGCACGTGTACACCTGTCAGCACGTGATTGGCTATACACGGGACTTCGTATTCCCGCACCGCCCATACTGCCCCTCCTAGTCTCCCCTGCTCCCTCCCTGCCCCACGCTCCTCCGCACTCTCCCCTGCTCTTCCTTGTATGCCTCCTTTCTCCACCTCTTCCCTTTTGCGTTCCCCAGAGTGGGAAGCGCACAGAGGATGTGGAGTCTCGCTAGCAGTGGTGGTGGGGGGGGTGAGGTGCGAGGGGGAAGGGCGGACGGCTGTGGGAAAGAGGCACGAGATGAGGGAGGCGGAGGGGGAGGCGGAAAGGGAGGAGAGGGATGGCGGGGCGAAAGGGTGAGGGAGGGAAGGTGGGTGTGGTGGCGGTGGAAGGAGCAGTATGGTGGAGGGAGGGGGAGAGTCTGGGGCGGTGAGAGCGGGAGGTGTGGGGTCGGTGGGATGGTGGTGATTAGGTGGATGAGTTGGCACGCGGGTGAAGGAGAGGGCTAGACAGGCGATGAAGGCAGGGGCCGATACCACCTGGTGGGTCGGTCGGTGGGAGGGGAGCAGAGAGAGAGAGGGAGTGAGAGAGATGGGCCAGGCAGGGAGGGAGATACGGACGAGTTGAATGGACACATGGAGGAAAGGGAAAATGAGTAATGAAGGGTGAGGTGTGGAGAGAGTGTGAACAGGATGATACATACACGCATGGGGATGGATGGGCGGTGAGATGGAAATCCCACGTTCATTCGAACCATGCATGCGGGCACAGATGTCATGGAACACACCCGCTCACCTGCCCACCTGCCCACCCGCTCACATGCCCATCTGCTCAACCCCCCACCCACGTACATGTCTGCTCGCCTAATCTCCCATGCGTGCACTCACAGAGTACGACACATGCAGAGTGGTGCCTGGTTGCACATGCACGTGCGGCCGAAACACATCCACCACACATGCTGACGTGGTTGGCCCTGGCTGCACATCTGGCGGGGCCTGGTCGGCCAGAGAATCGGGAACTACCCTGGGGGGCGGAGAAGGGGAGAGGGAGAGGAGGAGGGCAGCAGAGCCTTCCCATGCTGTGCCGTGCCTGTTGGGGGTGGGTGAGGGGAGGGCGAGGAGATAGTGATTCCATGAAGCCTGTGGCATATGGCAGGGCTGGCAAATGGTATGGGGGTGACTGTGAGCATGTATGCTGAAGGGAGGCCATGGTGCCACGCCAAAGGGTAGTGGTGCCATGCATGCCGCATGGTACCATGCATGCCGCACGGTACCATGCATGCCGCACGGTACCATGCATGCCGCACGGTACCATGCATGCCGCACGGTACCATGCATGCCGCACGGTACCATGCATGCCGCATAGTGCCACACGTTCAGCATGGTGCCAGGAAGCGCAAACACGAGTTCCCATAAAAGCATGAGCAGGCATAACACTGAAACCTACAGACACCACCATGCGGTGCGACAAGCAAGGTGGGTGGGAGTGTGTGTGTGAGAGGGTACCAGAGGGAACAGCGGACGGAGCGGGAGGGATGGGCAGGCTCGGTGGAGAGCAGTGGCCGTGACGTGTGCATGTGCACTGGCTGGAGGGGAAGAGGCGGAGGAGGGGGGGGAAGGGAGAGGGGGGAGCAACAATGCAGGTGGGAGTGGGAAGGGGGGCAGCTGATGAGATGGTGAACGTGGAAGTCGGGAATTGCAGGGAGTGTTCTCATGGGGATAAGTGGGGACAGGGTCACAAGGAGTGTGACGCATGTACACACACAGGTGCTGCACTGCTCACCACCCCAACCCCCCCCCTGCAGCATTGGAAGCACTGGCAGCACTGGCAGCGCCGGCACTGCACCATACACATTCCCTTCTCCCTCCCCCAACCCCAGATCCATCCCCCCCATACTGCACCTCCCCAGATTCCCTCTCCCCTCTCCCAAGCCCCTGTCCCAAACTTCCAACCCACCCTAACCCCCACGCACTAAACTCTGATACTCTCACTGTCCCTTGTTCCATGCCCTGCGCGCCTGCCTCTCCTCCTTCCCCCCTGTCACTCTCCCTCGCTCCTCCTACCCGTAACGTCTGGCAGGAGAAGTTACTCCAATGGGAGCTCGCCACATGGCGGCCAGCCAGCCAAATGTTGGTGCCGACGCCCTGAGGGAGGGGAGGAGAGGATGAGGGGGGTAGAGGTGGCGTGGGAATGCTGTGAGTGTTGTGTTGGATGTGAGGGGGGGAAAGAGCAGGGGGGAAGGAAAGATCGGCGAAGATGGAAATAGTAGGGAGGAGGGAGAGGGAATCGAGAGGGGGGGATTGAGTGGAGCGAAGCGATGGGCGGAAAGCAAGTGGCAGGAAGCGATGGGGAGGGGGGAAGGGGAGGTGATGCAGACACGGAGGCGGGGAAGGGAGGGACATTGGAGAAAATTCAGCGATGGGCGAGGAGAGGCATGGTATGGGCCATGTGTCCACGTGTGCACAGTTGCATGGGGTGCATTCTTGCATGGGTGCACACACCTGGTCGAAGGCAGTGAAGAGAGGCAGAGTGAGGGGGAAGCCACTCTCGCACTCCCCCCCACACTCCACACTGCGCTCGCCTGCTACGCCCCCTGCACACACACCAGTGCCTGCCACAGCTCCCCGCTCCCCACTCTCCCCTGCCCCATTCATCCCGCCACCTGCCTCACTGTCCCCCTCTTGCACCCCCTCTGTCCCTTGCATCCCCCCTGCCCCATCCCCCTGCCCGCCCTGCTGTGTTTGCAAGGGTTGGTGTGGGCGCAGGGAGCGGTGTGAGTGGAGGGCTGTGCGAATGCTGTGCCATAGCCTGGCGTGAGGAAGGGCAAAGGGAGGGGGGTACGGGGTGGGGGAAGGAGGGGAGGGGGCGCAGGGGGAGGGAAAAGGAAGAAATTCAGGGAAAAATGGACAGGGCGAAAAGGCAGGGGAAGTGGGCAGGGGAAGTGGGCAGGGGAAGTGGGCAGGGGAAGTGGGCAGGGGAAGTGGGCAGGGGAAGTGGGCAGGGGAAGTGGGCAGGGGAAGTGGGCAGGGGAAGTGGGCAGGGGAAGTGGGCAGGGGAAGTGGGCAGGGGAAGTGGGCAGGGGAAGTGGGCAGGGGAAGTGGGCAGGGGAAGTGGGCAGGGGAA